AAAGATATCTGGGAAAAGTTCCGTAACTTTTTACCATGTTACCGAAAGGATATGCTCGCGGTATACAGGTTCCTCCTGTGTAAAAGTGTACGTGTGTGCGAGTGGATTGCACAACGAAATCCGGGCACCCTATTCTCCTCTCTCGTATAAGGCCCCGACGTCCGGCTGACTTTGACGATCGGTTTGAAGTCGCGCATGCATTACTTACAGCCGGGACGAGGTGGCTGCGCGAGCGTGTGCGTACCCGTACGTGTGAGAATCCATTTCGCGAAGGAGAAGGACGTTGTCAGACTGTCTTCTTGGTGGGACGTACGGAGGGCAGTAAAAAACACGTCCCGCGTGGAAAAAAATCGAAAAGGAAGTAACGCGAGTGTATAGCGAGTGAAAAGAGTAAAAAAAGGAAAAAAGAAAAACGAGCGAGCGAGAGAGAGATGGGAAAAGTGGGGGAGAAAAATGAGGAAAAAAATGCCGCATGAAAGAAGTGTATTCCTTTCGGACCGCGAGATCTTGAACACGGAGGTTGTAAATCTCGACCGCTTATTGGAAAATCGAAATTCGCTTTGAGGAACTGCGCAATAAAAAGAAAGAGAAAAGAACGGGGTAGAGAGAAAAAAGCTGTCAGCGAAGCATGGAAACCAGTGGCTCCTTGATTATCATAAATCTGTTTCCACGGGTTACGGTGGGAGGCGTATTCTCTCTACTGGCGGGTTAAAACACGCCAGAACTGACGTTTACTGCGCCCCCTCGTTGTATTTTCGACGGTGGAATCTCTCTTTGTAACCACGGTGAAGCGTTATTTAAAACGATTGCCACGCTCCGCTGTGTGTGTGCGTATATTGAACGCGTTAAATTGACGCGCGATATTCGTGGAAAACGTGCAATTTCGTCTTCTCTTCTCGGTCGGAAACAACCGCGGAGTATTTGGAACTTTTTCTCGCCGGTCGCACTGTAAAGTAACGAACGACGGATACGCGAGCGTCGCGCAATCAATTACCCGAACAACTTCCTCGAGATAATTGATTTAAAGGAGAATTTTAAGCGATCACGATGTTGTTGGCGAAATAACGACGACAGAGGTACGATCGCGGCAGCAGATGCTGCACAGCGCCGCTGGAGACTTCAATGCCGGACAAGAAGATCTGCCGCGGCAGATTATTGAACTCTCCAGTCTCTCGAGAGAGCGCGCGCGCATGGCTAGACGATTCTATCGGGTTCAGGAAGGCATGGAACGGTCCCGTGCAATAAGTATTTCTGGTTATCGTGCGCCTTACGGTTTCGTATTCTACTTGTTTCGAACGCACGCGTAACACGGCCTGTCCGTATTTTTGACCGGCCCCACGTCGTTAATTCTCGCGGCCGGCTCCAACCTGCTGACAAAGTATTAAATTGTACCTAATAATTCACGATAACAGCACCGATATTATCGACGTTTCAAAGATGATTACGCGCGTACGTATCGGGAGTGTTTTGTGAAACACGTATCCCCCCGCGCGTGAAAATATGTCCCGGCTATTATACGCGGCGTTTCAATACCGTCGAAACGACGGTACGCGTTACATTTTAACACGAAATAATGTTACATCTGGAGACGGGGAGGAGAATTCTAAATAAATGTGAAAACCTGGGTGAAATGATTTCTCGTCGAAACAACCATACACATCGATCACTCGACGTGGAAAAGAACATTTCCACGTAGTTACTCACCTGTTAGATCCGGCTGGTTCGTTGCATTTTTAGCGTCCGCGCGAAAGAATCGAATGTGTAATCGAGTGACACGCGACGAAAAACCGGAGACGGATAAGAACTGGTTGACGCTTTACGAGCTACCTTCCGAGAAGTTGGGAAACGAAGCGCCGGCGAAATCCTCGCGACTGTTACTTTAACGCGAGTCCAATTATTCCGTACAGTAAGTCACGTACATACCGGCAAGCGCGAGTAAACTTAACGAATGGCAAGTTGGCGCTGTACCAAGCGGTTGTGACACGTTTTGCCAGAAATTCCCGATACCTCGTGCGATCTCGGAGAGAGCACGTCGTTTCGCTAGCATCGTTCGTCTCCGAAGTAATTCTTGCCTGTCAGGTTTCTACGCTTAACCGTGGCACGTTGGCGACAAGCGTGAAAAATTTCGTTACATTTTTTTCACCCTTCTCTCTTCCGACAACTCGTCCTTCTACGAGATCGTTACATACGCTTTGTGTAAGTAAGTAGAGATACTCTTAGGTATTACTCGACGTCAGAGAAAAAGAGGAAAAGAAACGTCGCTCCTCCTTGCGTGAAACGAAACCCGGCGAATAAATTGCTAATTGCCGCGAAAATGATGGTTTTAGTAAGTCGAGCGTTAACGATACCACCGCTCGCGAAATTAGAGTGCTCCAAGTAGCAGGTTACGCCGAAAATTTTCATTTCTGGCCCGGTGTAGATTTCATAAACCGTTACACTTTAACACGGCCTCGGTACCGTTATTAAATTGCCGGTGTACACGCGGCGAGAAGCTCGTTTTTGAAAACCACCGGAGGTTCCTATTATCCTCCTCTCCGGTAGCTCCGTTTCGTGGCGCTTTATAGCTGCCAGTATTAAGGCAACATCGATTTGCAGCGGCCACAAATCAGCGGTTTCCCCGAGGAAACTAGTACCCTCCGCACCGAACATTCAGAATTCGCTGCCTGATTCATGGAAATAACCA